TGCACGAATCTAGTATACCCTTTTACTCTACGAGTAACGGGTATAAAAAGTTTGTTGATTAACAAACAATTTACTGAATTAATTAAAGTGTTTTTTACAATATTTTAAATGAACACTAGAATATTTAAGTTAATAATTTAATTAACTTTTTAAAAATAATTTTTTTTAGCTTTTTATTTTCAGTGTATGGGGCGGTGTTATGGCCCGGCGAAAGCGGAAATGAAATTAAGCGAAAATATGTTCCCGGCCAGCGAGTCCCGCACCATTTTTGCCGGCTCTTTCTCTAGATTAAATTAATCAATTTAACCAGCAGCCCAGAGGAGGGGATTTTTTTTGAATGAAGGGGTGGAGAGGGCCTTCGATCGAAACATACCATTAGCATGATTTAGTGCGGCGACCCCGCGGCTTCATTAGCATAAAACAGTTCTTATGGCCATTCTAGGAAACCAAGAGGCATCGACGACTTTTCTCAAAACAATCGCAGCGTTTACAGCCGAACGGAGATTGAAGTTGGATCGGTGAGAGCGCGTTGGTTACTGTATAATTTTTATGATATTGCCCGATTGTCTCTGTTCTGTATGTGGTTTTTATTTATTTCCACCGTCGTTCCCCACGGCCAGAAACATTTTATCCTCAATTAATTCATCATTATTCGAGGTTTCCCTCGTCTCCGATTCGACTTCGTTACACGGAGTCCGTCAATCTTCCCAGTCATCAAAATCTGTTGCTTTTTATTCGATTTCAGGCGAAATTTTATTTTGTTTCTGTTTTCTTTGTGCCTCTCACCCGACGCGATTGTTTAATTTTAATTTATTTACATTGAAATTCAATATTTGGTAAATGTATTTTTAATTTTACTGCTGTTGATTATTATTGACCGATCTGATGAAAAGGAATTCACGTTATTGCCTCAGCCGAGAGTTCGAGGCCGTAAAAATCCATCACCCAAATGGAATAGATCCCCCGATCGAGATACGGACTCGGCCGGGTGTTGGGGACCATCGGAATATGACACATGGCAAACACCTCGTAAGCTTTTCCTTTTTATGGACTGCGAAGAAGAACTTTCGGAGAAGTTCAACGACTCGAGCACTTCGATGGGTTTCGTGTTTTTTTTTTTGGGGAAATCTCTTGAATAAACATTCCAATTTAAATGGTTGAGCCTTTCATTTTTGAGATGACTGATTAACAATTACTGGAAGCAATGAAATTAGGGTTTTAATAAAAGAGAATGTAATGGGGAAATTTAAATCGTTTTTTCTCATGATTTATCTTAAAAATGATAGTGGTAAACAAAATGAAATATTTAAGAGGTTTTATATAAAGGTGAATACCTACTTAACTTTCTTTTTCATTTCGAAAGGAAAACATTTTTATTAACAAATTTAAAGCAAATTATTTTTAATACAAATATTAAAGTGATTTAGTATCTACGGATACCATAAAATATAATAATCAACTATTAGTATTTTGTGTAAATATTATTGTTTTTAACAATTATTTAGTTAAGAACCAGAGCATTCTTTATGAAATATATTATATATTAAACACCTTATTTTCTATCGATATGTCATATACGATCTGTTCCTAATATCCCAACTATACCGAATACTGCTCTCTAATCAAGATCGATCTCATCTGAATTGAACGGTAAATTCGGCCCAAATGGCAAACAACTTCCGATTAACCATTCGATTGTCCGCATCAATTGGGCAATGCAACCCGATAAGTTGCAGCTCCAGCGCTCTGGTTTCGTTCGCCGATACGGCAAACGTTCCAATCTGGGCCCCACAAAAAGGGAATAGACAATGCACCCGATACTTGGTCCTCCGTCCCGAAAAAGCCGAAAAACCCTGAAACCCCGAAACTTGGCTGCAGTTACGAAAAGGAGCGCAAATATGTGCAAAAGGTGAGGGGGCGGGGGATGGGGGCGAATGCATTTGCGGAAATGTGTGCGCAACATGCAACATAAATGGAAATGCCGTTTGGAAAACATATTGTTTTTGGGCCCCACCAACGGTATAGCCTATTGCATTGCCCCTCGTCCCTCTCTTTTCCTTCCCCGCTCCCCCCAGAAAATGCACTAATTTTCCTAACGCGCCCCATGAGGCTGTAGTCGGAAAAGTGGGTGGCGGGCGGTGGGTGGCGCACATTTTAGAAATTGGACGGCATTTTTCGTTGAATTGTGTGCTGATTGTAATTCATTCCGTGTGTGTGAGAGTGTGTTTGGCCAGTGTACACAGGCAGCCACTCCCCCATTCCCCGCCTCCGCCCCCCACACACACTCACACACACAGACAGAGAGGGAAAATTTGAAAATTTTGATTACATGTTTCGATACAAAATGGCGCTGCAAAAACGAACTCGAACTGATGATGAGGCATGCCAATCCTGACGAGGCGTGGGACGTGGGGTCCTTTGGATTGCCCAGTGGTTCGGCTATAGGAAGGGGGAGTTTTAGGGGGTCCTGGGGCCCAAATTGCAGTGCGTCCTGGACGCTGGACGCTTTTGTGCGTTGGCTGCGCCGGGTGCAAATGTGCATTTTAGATCGTCGAAGCGTAAATTAGGATTTCAAAATGACATTTGGAATATTTACGACTTGCCAGCGCAGACCCTATACCATCTGCATACCCCATCTAGGAACATAGAGCCCAGGAACCCTAGAACCACCCAACCCACCGTTGTTGTTCATGGTAATTGCGTAGCCGGCTCGATGATGTCCTGTCTGTTTGTGAACACACAGGTAAAAGGCAAAAAGGGCAGGTGAGTGGGAGCCTGCGTTCGTTTCGGTTTTCGAAATTGCCAAAAAGCTCCCTTTGTTGAATTATGCAACTTAAAATTTGGCACAGGTCCGTCTCAAAATTGCCAAAATAGAAGCTTTTGATTGGAAAATTGTTTGATTGGTTGCAATTTCGTGTTTAAATATTTTCACAAGCCCACAAAAGGGGCAGATAGAGAAAAATGCTAAAAAAAGCAAATTTCCCTGGGCCTGGCGAAAAGTTACTGTGCCAAAACATGCAAAACCACTCACAATTCCGATGGAGCTGGCCAAGTTCTTTCGGGGCAATCAATCTCTCAGGCATCGCGATTCTCGAGTCAAACTTGTCGTGCGCCCCGGGCACAAAAAAATTAATCGAAACCAAAGCCCCAGGATCAGGGATTCGATGGGATTCTCGTTCTTCCACACCCAAGCATCAATGTCTACCGACTTCAAAATAGACTCTCAAACAAACGCCAAGCAGCAAAAAAAAGCATCATAATAAACGGCAAAAGTAAAATTATACAAGTACCAAAACACATATGTATGTACTATCCCACACATGTCAAACAAGAAGTATAAATCCAAATACACTTGCACGCTTCTGTAAATATATGTACGGTGTGCACTAAAAAAATATTGATGACCTAAAAATTACATACAAAATTTACTGATATATTACATTAATATATTAAAGGCCGTTTTCTCATCCGCCTGTTAAATTTAAAGTAAGCTTTAAAATCCGGTTTCTCATACGAATTTTCTTTAAATTTAATAAACGGACGAATCTTAAACTATTAACTATACAATTTTTTTACTATTTTACAATTTTGAATTAAATTAAAAAAAAAAGAAAATTGTTAGTCAGTTCATTTTGATCATAATGTCAGAATAATAACCTTTATAATTATACCCGTTTCTCGTAGAGTAAAAGGGTATATTAGATTCGTGCAAAAGTATGTAACAGCTAAAAGGAAGCGTTTCCGACCCCATAAAGTATATATATTCTTGATCAGGGTCACTAGCCGAGTCGATCTAGCCATGTCCGTCTGTCCGTCTGTCCGTCTGTCCGTCTGTCCGTCTGTCTGTCTGTCTGTCTGTCTGTCTGTCCGTCTGTCCGTCTGTATGAACGCTGAGATCTCAGAAACTACAAAAGCTAGAAGGTTGAGATTTCCCACACATATTCTTTGGCTTCCTACGCAGCGCAAGTTTATTTTAGCCGAGCGCCACGCCCCCTCTAACGCCCACAATCGCCCACTAATGATTTTAAAATGGGTCCTGCGCCCACATCTTTAAAGATTTCCGAGAAGTATAAATGCAATTTTGTTGTGTATATTTATACCTATCGAAATGTAGAAGACATTTTTTAAATCGGACCATTCATTAAAAAGTTATACGCAATCAAAAATTATATATCTATCTCCCTCGCACTCCCTTTAGCTGAGTTACGATTATTAGTCGGGACACCAACCCGACACAGCGTTCGCACTCCCTTTAGCTGAGTGACGGGTATTAGATAGTCGGGACAACAACCCGACTATAGCGTTCTCTCTTGTTTTTTTTAACATATAAACAATTAAATTTAAACCGAAAATGTTGTACTTTTTTGAGATTCATTTTTAATTTTATAATATACTTTCTTGTATATTTTTGCGTTACTTTCTTTTTTCTCAGTGCACATTTTGCAGATACACATATATTTTGTATATTTTCCATTTTCACCGAAATAAATAAACATCATCAATGTCAAATGGAAATCACTCGCATTGGCAGGCACCCCGGGAAACGAAATGGCATTGGGTGGGAGGTGTTTCGCTGGGTGGAGTGTGGGTGGGCGGTAGGAAGTGGATAGTGGGTGGGCCGGCCCCTGGCATTTGCTTTTTATGAAACTATTTCAAAATGTGAAACCAATTCGCATAAAATTTTGTCAGGGCGCCTGTGACATGTGAAATGAAACCAAATAAGAAAGCAACACAGCGCTTCGGGGGCTCGAAATAAAATATATAAAAATAAATGTCAATATTGTCCGCTGTCCGTCCATCGGGTGTTTATTGACATTTTGGCAAACGCAAATCTCGCCGAGCCTGCGAATTCGAATTCGCCCGGGAGACCGACATCGTCATCGTCGTTTTCGTTTTTCTTCCCGTTGTTTTCCCTGCCGTTGGTGGAAAACATATTTGAAAACCATTGGCACATGTCCTTATGAATGATGTGCTAATGTGACAGACGGCAGAGCATTTTTTTTGTATATTTTTTATTGATGGGTAACGGTGAGTGGTTTTGTGGATTGGATAATAGGTTTTTGATCCGTGATGGATGTACAGCTTTAAGGATATGCAAAGAAGGTATACACTCAAAATAAATTTAACCCTAAATTTTAGAAAATCGCCCTAAAAATTTCTTTTTTCTAAATACAAGAAAGTTATTTCTAAATCTAAGGAAATTTTTCTTAAGTCAAGAAAGTTTTTCTCAAATCTAGGAAGTTTTTCTTAAATGTAGAAAATGGTTACCATGAACTAAAATCACCCTAAAATCTAGAAAAAATGTCCTAAACTTTAGAAATTATTTTCTGAAAAATAGAAAGGCAAACGAAAATAATAAAATATCTTGGCAACACCTTTTCTAAAAATTAGTGCCCTAACCCTAAAATGAAACCAACCCTAAATAATAGAAACATTTTCTAAAAAGTAGAAATTTTTTCTAAAAAATAGAAATATTTGTTTTCACATGCTCTGGCACACCAAAATGTTCAATGCCAGAACTTGTCAACTGCCGGCCGGCTGTACCCGTGGCGCAGACGGTTAAAGCACTTGGTTAGCAATCGAATCGACGCGGGTTCGAGTCCCAGAGCAAATTTTTTTACCTTTTTTTTTTAATTTTTTTTTTTAATGTTATTTTATTTTTTTTTTATTTTTTTTTTTACATTTTTTTATTCCTTTTTTTATTGATGGCAAGCGGTAAACTGAAAATAATTAGGTTCATATTCAGCTATTTACTATATACTACACATAATATAAATTGCGTTAGCATAAATATATACATATGTATATACGTATGTAAATAAGTAAAACGCGAATGGTCAACATTATGCAATTAGTATTCAAATGTATTGTCCGCTTCACCCTTTACATACAATGCTCGGTTTGCCACAGCAAGTTTAAGTGCTACAATGGCCCAGTATGTAGGCCATTCGCTCCTCGCGCGGGAGACCCGGGTTCGATTCTCACGACGGACAAGTAAAAATTGTAAGTTTTTTTCATGAATATAAAATATTAACTAATCATAATTTCTACATTCCCAATCTTCCGCAGTCCCGTAGTCTACATTTACAACCATATTTGGCTTTGGTTAGATAAGAAATCCAAGCGCAAATACATAATAATAAATACATAACCTTAAACATTCACAATATACATGACACACAACGCCTGCATATGTACATAGGGAGGAGTACATAATATAAACGTATATACAAAAAAAAATCATGATTGAACATGTTTTTTGTTTTGTTTTTAATTTCTATTTTTTAGGAAAATTTCCTACTTTTTAGAAATTTTTGCCCTTAAATTTAGTAAAATTACCCTAAAATTTAGAAATATGACGTCAAAAAAAATCAAAAATATAGAAAAATGTGACCCTAAAATTTAGGGCTAGCTTGTCTTGAAGACAAAAGTAGGGCGATTTCCTTGACTTTAGGGTTAATTTTATTTTGAGTGTAGTAAACTTTGTATAGGAATATTATATAACTATTTAACTTAAGTTTCAGCGGATGCCAGACATGTCTCCTCGCAATCCCTTTTGGACCAAAAGCGATTATCATTTCCTCCAGATCCCGAGTAAATAAAGGGGACGCATTCAAATATTTCTTTGTTGTAGGTGAACATATAAAATGCTTCCCCCGTCGTTATCCCTTTGCTGTGTGGCAAACAACATAGGGCTAATATTTAAGTTAGTATATTATTAACTTACGAAATCAGAAAATTACTCACGTGGAGATTTGGCACTTATCGATGAGATAACCACACAAAGAAGTAAGTGTAGTATTAATAGTTTCATTGAGGACTGAGATATCAACTGCTCGATATTTGAGCTATATGTGTTTGTAATATAACAAATTTAATTATAGCGCAACATTGTAAATTAACTGATTAGTTTTAGCTTTAAATATATTTATTTTTAGAGCTTGGCTGTGTCAAGAAACTTTTACCTAACGCCTTGTTGCGACTCCAAATAGTTAATTTAGATTTTTTTAAAGTTTTTTATGTAACCCTGGATAAGTCTATTGATTCTACTCTCACTGATCTCAATTACAGTCTCTCATTTCCCCTACGAATCGCCCCAACAGCCCCCGCCACCCATTCCACAATTAGAGGCAATTGTTGAGCGCAGCTCCATCCACGAATCGTCTGAAAATCAAAACCTCCCCAGGGCTGCATAAATTAAAGGCTTGCTTGACGAATAAAAAATACAAAAAAGAAGGAAAATAAAATCTGCACCGGTTCGGGGGATTCGGGGACTCCCCGCCCGCTCTGCAACCACGTGCTGGCATTGCGCGACACAAAAGGCGACCAACAAAAAATCGCTCTGGGACAATGACAGGCCCCAAAAGCGGCTGCCACTTTCCCCACTTTCACCCCCGGCAGCCTCGTAACAGCATATCCTTGGGAGAATGCTGCACCACAGAATTCCAAGAAAATGCGACAGTTTTCGTTTTCCACTCGGGCATTGGGGGATGGGGGATGCTGCTGGGAAACGCATTTGACACGCGGCGTGCGACATTTATCAAAAAAGGTAAATGGGAGCGGGAAAAAACGGATAACTTAAAAAACACAAACCGAAACGGAGACAGGAATTGTGATTGATCGGCGGCCAAGTGTTTTCCTTATTCGGTTTTTGGGATGGAAATGGGGAGTGGCTATTACGGTTGACCTTTGGCACGTGTGCCTTTTGAATAACCCTTTCGAAATGTGGTCCACCATAATGGGCTCTTCCCATTTTATTGACGCAAATCAATCATTATGGTGTGCTTGGCACTCATAAGTAAAAACTACCGAAAAAATAACATGAATTAGATTTTTCATTGTGACCGATTCGATGGCTTTAAAAAAGTCATCAATAAGTTGCTTCATATAAGCACGCAAAAATATAAAAACACGCCGGGATCAAATCAATATGCGCTTGGTAGATTTCTGGTATTTATACGCATATCGTTTTCACCAAGGCATACTGGTAAAATTTATATTAAATAATGTTGATGCTGCTTACATTTCGAGCATGTTAAATTGAAATGCCGCAAATCAAGTCAAAATTGATACCACATAATATTAAATTGATCATCGTTTCCTTTTGATCATCTTTTTTTTGGGTGAGGTAATAAATAAAATAATTAGTTTAAGGTTTATATTTTTTTATGATAAGTTAAAGTTTTGTAACCTTTTTCTAAAAATGTCGATTGCGATTTGGAATTTTCGCGACACCCATAGTAATTTTTATCTGAGAGTTATGATATGCTTTTTCATTTACGACAGCGTAAACACCCGATAGCACTCCTATAAAAATCTCGAGCGAGTTACCGATTTATGCTCGACTAGCCAGAAATTTATTAATTGCCAGGGACCATAAACACAAGTTGGGGCCCGACTTTCAGCCACTTTATGACGAATGTTGGAGGCAAAAGTCGGCTTGTGCCACATGCGGCGATTTATTGGCCGTGTCTCTGCCGCTGACGTTGCGATCAAAATGAAAATCGAACGGCATCATTATCTTTCGCCCAATGCTCATAACTCAGTGAAAAAGGCCGGGAAGAAAGGGATCGGGAACGGGATCCATTCGCGATCCATCAAGCCTGCAGCCTTGGCGACAAGTCAAGTCCAAGCTCGAGTCTCAGCCCCCACTGGGCAGTGTCATAAAACTTCATTCATTCATTTATAATTTAATATCGATCGGTGTCGACTCACTCTGATGGATGGGATGGCCGGCGTTGCTGGGATTGCCTTGGATTGCACTGGGGCTGCACTGGCCATCGTTAAATTTTATGCCAGCCCCATTGCCACGTTTATGGCCGGCAAAAGTTTGTGGCCAGCTTTTCCTCATCGTCGCATCGACTCATCGGCCATCGCAGCGACCGCGACTCATATTTTTGTGGCCTTTATGGCGATTGGCAAATCGAGGGCCATAATTCACAATTTAATTAAGAGCCGCAAATAAAGCGAGGTGCATTCTTGGCCTCAGTTTATCGTCCTGGCACCGCACATCAAAACGCCAAGTCGGATCAAATGTCTCGGCTCGTCTCGGTTTCAGGCTCTCTCCCCTTTTATTGGGACTTAACTGCCCCCAATGGTCTACGCCTACCTACTCCACTGAAAAGTGCAATTTCTATGCAGGAAGTGAGTCCTCAATATATGTCTTAAAAAGGGAATTAAATTAATTATGGATGATGGGCTTGATTGATTTGTTAACAAATCGCTTTCCAACAGGTTGACATATTTTTTTACATTTTTAATAAAATGATTGCTTTATCATTAAAACTTTTGATTAAAGTTGCATATGTGCCATTATATACCATTACCAATTTATCTAATTTAAATGTAGAATACAAGTTTTAAAGATTTTTTATAATATTCATTTTATATGGTTAATATATCACAAGTTCTGACTCATATTACCGCGAACCACTTCCTTATATACTTTTTTATTTTTTCTCGGGATGAGATCCCCTTACATGTCAGAAACTTTTTACCGCACAACAACACACACAAAGGCGATAGCGAGTCCCTGGGAAAGATTGGGCTGGGAAACTTGAAAGGAAGATGCGTAAAAGTAATTTTAATCGAAAATTGATTTATAATTGAAAAATCTCATTTGCAGAAATTGATTTACCGCAGCACCAAGGAGGAATCCTTCCTCGTCCTTGTCGTCGTCGTAGGCTTCTTCTCGTCCTTTTTCGTGCCACGTTGCTTTCCGGGAAAATGCGTGCAATATTTTTCTGTTCAAAGGCAGTTTTCCGGCGGGAAGGAAGCTGAGGTAACCGAGCGTCAAGTGGTTGAGCCAACAAAACTTTAGCCAGCAGAAAAATGTCTGCTAAGGACGAACAGCTGCAAAGAAGCTGCAGGAACTTGCTAAGAAAGGAGCACACTCACCAAAATTAAAATGGCTTGAAAATAATTAAATTTTTAAATGTAAGTAAATATATTCTGTATAATTTTGAATATAATTAAAGAATACTTGAATCTACAAATATCGGTGTAAAGTGATTTCTTGATTAAATAATATAAAACTTTATTAAGTTAATTATTCGGTTTCCCTTTAAATGAGAATTTTAATAAAATATATACCTATTAGCGTTCTTTTTTATTAGGTTTACGATCATCCTAAGGTAATTAAATAAATATTAATAAATTTAAACAATTTGGTATTAATTGAAAATGTGCCTTTTATTGTCGGTCTTGTAAAAACAAGTTTCTTATAAACACTAATTTGAAAAATGTGTCACCTCCAGTTTCTGTGAGTGCAGGAAAAAGGGCGAAAGTGGTCGAGGGAGTGGCTCGGCATCCTTTGGCCCGGCCCGTTATCTCCTGCCGCTTTGTCATCATCAAAGAAGCTGCCGCCGCGTTGCCAACTTCGCCCATTGACTTTGCTTACGTTTAGATTTTTCTAGCTATTTTCCAGTTGCTGCGGTGAGCGGCACGCTTGCGGCAACATTGTAATTTTGAAAATGAGTAAAGTTTGAAAAACCTTGTGGTTAGCCCCGATTGCGCCCGGCCACGCCCCCATTGGAGTGGTTTCTTTTCCATTTGGCCTGGCCAGGGCAAATCAAATTCTTATAGAAATCTTCTTGGCCCGTCAGCTCTCGACGCCGCTTCCGTTTCCGCTTTGACACTTGTTTTGAGCCCCCGCCACCGCCAATTCAATTATGCAGCGAGTGCAGGAAAGTTTTTAAATTATTTAGCAAGTTCCATTCAGCCGACGTCCACTGCACCCGTAAATTATGTCCAACTGCGAGTTTGAGTCCGAGTCCGGGCGTCTCAAGTGTCATCTTTCTTTGTCTGGGGTCCTGCGACAGGACCTGGCCTTTGCCAATTATTGCAATGCGCTCTGTGCACGCACCTCCGGCAATTAAAATTAATTTCCTCGCAGACGCCATTGTCTGGCGGAAAAGCCGGGAAAAGATAACTTGGGGACGAAACGCTGTTTCTCGCCTGAAGGATTTATCTTGATTCCAATGGGAAGCCCAATCCAAAGTTGAACGGTGGGTGGTCACGCTCTAGTGATCACCTGGAAAAATTACTTAAACTTAAACCTTTAAAATCAAAAGTATTAAACACAATAAAGATGCTATTATTTATTTAATTATTATTATTTTAAATTATAGGAATATTATAAATAACCAGTTGGAAATAACTATTCAACATTAATAAAGTATATTGTATTTAAAGTGGTCTAGCTAAACCAACTAAATCGATATAATTTTCAAAAAATCTAAGTAAATAAATGCATTTTCATTTCAATTTTGGTTGGTTTTCAAATTGGCAAACATTTATATTAAAAGGAACTGAAAATAAATAAAAGGTAGTAATCAAAGGATTAAAATAAATAAATAAGTTTTTATTTAAGTTTTGGTTGGTGCTTAAATATGAAAATATTTATATTAAAAAGAACTGAAAAGAAATAATAGGTAGTAACCAAAGCTGTATCGTAAATCTAGTCTGGTAATTCATCAACGAGTTAGGCAACAATTAAACAATTTGAATATCCATGGATCAATTAATATAATCAATCTGTGGACGGTCAATATGAAATCGAAAATTAAAAGACCAAAATAAAAGGCAATTTAAATTATTTATATTCGAAAAACAAAGAAATATTATGACCAGAAATGGCATGCATCAAAAGCGAGAATAATCAAATAAATTCCGAAAAGGCAAATCGAAAAATTGAAACATTAAAAATAAGCTAATCGCTTTTGTGTATCCATCACGCAAATTTTTATAACACTCATAAAACCGAAAACGAAAAAAGGAAAAATGCAAATGGCCCGTAGAAGGCGATTTGAATGACAAAACGAACACCAATCGAT